GATGTTTTATTATATATATAATTTAAAAATAAAAAATCTTTTATAATTATTTTTATGATATTTTTTTTATAATCTCAATCCTTACTCGTCCATATATTGCCCATCATCATCATCATCCCCCAAGTGATTCTCATTGTTGGGGACCTGACAGTGCCAAACGTGGATTACTAATGGATACCTTTATATTATGTTTGGTTAGAGAATTTGAGAAGAGATTTAGAAAGAAAAAGAAAAAATTTAGATAAAATAAAAATAAAATAAATATATATTTCACTTAGTTTCACATACATCATCATCTCCCAATCAAATTCCTTTTCAAAGTTAGGTCAGTTTTGTTGATAGAAAACATTAAAAAATTGTATTTCAATGACGCTGTGGACTTTTTATCTCCAAAAATAAGAAAATAGATGTAGATGACAACAACACCAACAATCAAATACTTTCACTGCGTTTGGTGCAGACTTTCAAACATAATCCTATCCCTTGATTTCAATGTAACGTTTGGTTAGAATTTTTAAAAATTATTTTCATATTCATTTTTTAAAGTAAATCTATTCGGTCATCTTTTCAAACATTTTTCAAAAGTTTGGTCGGTTGATTAGAATAGTGTTAATTTTTTTTTAACACTTGTTATTTTTATATTTTAAATAAAAAATATTTTTAGAATTTTTTTAAAATTTTTTATGAGTTTTGAATAGAAATTTAGATTGTATGTTTGGCTATAAATTGTGAATTTTTGAATCAAATATCATATGTCACATCACTTATTTTAAAATTCATAATCAAATAAATTTTTTACATTCAAATCATAATTTCAAAACTCGCAAACTCAAAATATAATTCTATTTTTAAATCATAATTTTAAATCTCTATCAAACGCAACCTTTATTTTTTTTTGTTTGTTATGCGATGATATTAATATCATGTTTTTGTGGTCCAATACTACGAATGAAATATGGACTCATCCATCATTAAAAACTTGACCTCATCGGATCAGATGAGAACGGTTGTTGTACTAAATTATAGCTGTGTTTATCTAATTGAAAAACGATTCACATTTAGCTTCAAATGGCACTTAACATGAGAAAGTCTAAATGCCTAGAATATTGTTACATAAGACAGATAGATAAAATGTTATTCTCATATGTGGACTTCACTTTAAGTGGATCCTAAATTTTTGTCTCACATATGTATCTTATTATGTAATTATAGCATAATTGTTTTAAAAGTATGAGAACACACACACACACATAAAAAAAAAAGTGTAAAAAAATCATATGGGTTATTTACACCAAGGGCTTCCTAAATTACTTTTGAATATCAACTTATTCCATCATCTATGATACCATACAATTTGATCATTTAAACTTTAAAAATGTATCATTTTCATTGGTTAATGAGAACGGGTTCATAGACGAAGAAGGAAATTGATATTCACTAATAGTTGAAAGGTGTTGTATAGTTAACTCAAATTCAATTGATATGTCATTACTATTTATATATAATTTATTTTTATTTTGATGAGATATATACTTTAGAGCTTAGCTTTTGATCTTACCATCTCTGCATATTTAAATAATTTTATTTTCCAAATTCAATCCTGCATTTTGTCGTCTACTGCTAGATGGTGATTCAAATTTAAATTTTGTGTTAGGACCACAGCGCCTTTGGTTATGAACTGAAACGGTGCACTGCCTTTTTGGAGAAAGCCATGGGTAAACAACTTTACAATATGTGGATTTGCGGATCATCTACTTATGTGTCATTGAAACCTTTTTAAGGTCACTGCAAATGAAGGTATTACAGGGAATGTAAGTTCTCAAATTATCACACTTTGTGTCATTATTTTTTGTTTATCAATTTAAACAATTATCTTCTTAAATTATTGATATTAATTTATTTTATCTCAAACCATGAACAAGATCAAAATGATAAGGAGACAAGTATTTCCATACCATGCAACAAAACATAATCAATTGTTTTGAAAACAATAAAACACAAAATACAACTAACTGTAGCAAACTGTTGTCTCCAAATGCAACTAAATTAAGTAAATAATGTGCACAAATATTTTTGTTTTCTGGCGATTGGGATATTTCTTTAAAAATATAAAATCATTGAAAATTGTGTATAAAATAAACAAATAATTGTTCAAATTAATAATTCAACCAGTAAAGTGAAGTTTGAAAGTTTAAGGGGCAAGGTTTTATTTTAACAACTTTGTGGGATCGATAACCGTGTGCAGTGACGGAGGTAAGAAATTAAATTAGAAGGGATACTTTTAATTACAATTTTAATATATATTTTTTTATAACTAATAATAAGAAGATAATAATAATTTTTGAATTAATATTGAGTACAAAAAACTTAAATAAATTATTACAAAAGTATTTCACATAAAATTTTACAATTAATTTTGAGTAAAATCGAAAAAAAAAGTATTGCGTGTAACTAGTGTATCATGGACAATGTAAAAAAATCATATATTTAAGTCGTAAAATAAATTATATAATAGTAAGATAAATTAAATTTTTATAAAATTTGAGTAAAAATTTCATATAATAACGATATCACGTCATTATTGGCATATGATATCACTAACCAATAGGAAAGCAACATATGAAGGGTGAACTCCACGTGCAAATATAATTAATACTCTAGTAATTTTTACATATAAATAGTGAGATTAATTATGTTTGCATATCAATAATGATGGATATTACTTTTATATTGAGATTTTTTTACAAAATTTTCATACATAAAAATATAATTTGTTGTAATCACTTCATTTTCAATAAAATAATCACTATTGTTTTCATAAATTTAAAAATTTTCTTGACATTTTATTTTAAATATTATTTTTATTTAAAATTTTATTTATATGTAAAAATAAAAATAAAAAATCTAAAGCGGCACGTGACCTCCGATCATCATATGGCTCCGCCATTGACCACATGAGTTCGTGGGTTTCACTTTTTTAATCATGTACTCACAAAAAAATCTATATTAACTGCAATTTTAAATGCAAGCGGTACTTATTAGAGAAGGGTGTGGGATCCATGATGACAACCAGCATTGACAAAGATATATGATAGGATCAGCTCAACCATCATCGCCTCTTTGTGAAAAGAAAAGGGATACTTTTAATTACAATTTTAATATATTTTTTTTATAACTAATAATAAGAAGATAATAATAATTTTTGAATTAATATTGAGTACAAAAAACTTAAATAAATTATTACAAAAGTATTTCACATAAAATTTTACAATTAATTTTGAGTAAAATCGAAAAAAAAGTATTGCGTGTAACTAGTGTATCATGGACAATGTAAAAAAGTCATATATTTAAGTCGTAAAATAAATTATATAATAGTAAGATAAATTAAATTTTTACAAAATTTGAGTAAAAATTTCATATAATAACGATATCACGTCATTATTGGCATATGATATCACTAACCAATAGGAAAGAAACATATGAAGGGTGAACTCCACGTGCAAATATAATTAATACTCTAGTAATTCTTACCTATAAATAGTGAGATTAATTATGTTTGCATATCAACAATGATGGATATTACTTTTATATTGAGATTTTTTTACAAAATTTTCATACATAAAAATATAATTTGTTTTAATCACTACATTTTCAATAAAATAATCATTATTGTTTTCATAAATTTAAAAATTTTCTTGACATTTTATTTTAAATATTATTTTTATTTAAAATTTTATTTATATGTAAAAATAAAAATAAAAAATCTAAAGCGGCACGTGACCTCCGATCATCATATGGCTCCGCCATTGACCACATGAGTTCGTGGGTTTCACTTTTTTAATCATGTACTCACAAAAAAATCTATATTAACTGCAATTTTAAATGCAAGCGGTACTTATTAGAGAAGGGTGTGGGATCCATGATGACAACCAGCATTGACAAAGATATATGATAGGATCAGCTCAACCATCATCGCCTCTTTGTGAAAAGAAAAACTCGGAATCAAAGCGCATGGTCTTGCTGTTTATACTTTTCCCCATCACTCAAGCAAAAGATCAAACACTTGGTGGGCCTATATAACCTGAAAACCATTTTTTCTTTACGGAAAATGGTAGGAATCTAAATATTTTATTAATATTTTTATCAAATGTCATAAGTATGAGACCTACGCCGTGTGAGTTTCATATGAATTCTATACATATGAGACATTTAGCAAAAATATTAATAAAACATTTGAGATTTTTATCATCTTTCATCAAAATCTATCCTCTTTTCCTTTCCCTTCTCATTCTCATATATACATATTATTATATAGTATAGATTTTGTGTCATTTTAATGAGTCCAGCACTTAAATCATCTCATCTCCTCCCAGAATGCTACGTGAGTGGATACCCTTCCCTCTCTTCCCCCAAACTTTGGCTTTTATCCTCCTCCACACCCCTCCTCCCATTCCTTTCCTAAAAATTTTAAATATATTTTTGGGAGTTTTTCTTATGTATATATTTTTAAAAATTTTATTATAAAAAATTCATAACAAAATATTTAACGATGACATTTTGAAAAATAAAATCATTTTGATAAATATTTTAAAGTAATAAAAATTAAAACTTCTCACATAATTCTCTATTTTTTTTTTTATACATAATTTCTCTGTTTATATAGCAGCACTCTTTCATTAAGTTTCTCTCTCTAAAAATATTAGAAATCCCAAAAATTTTACCAAATATCTCATATAGTGTGAGATCCACATGGATCCACATTGTGTGGGTCTCACACCCATGTAAGACATTTGGTAGAAATTTTGATAAATTTTTTGAAATCTCTAGCATTACTCTTTACTCTTCCATCCTTGTGCAAATATTTTATGTTATTTTAATTAATTACACAAACACCATCTCAATTATCATTAATATCAATTGATTCTTATTTTCCAAAATAGGATATTCATATGTTTTTTTAATAATTTAGAAGTCAAAATATAATTAAGGAAGTGTCATAGTAATTTAATTTTTTTTAAATAATTTTTTAATTAATTGGTCCAATTTCATGTACAACTGTCATGGAGCCCATGACAATGGGACACCATTCCCCCATAGTACAAGAAGTTCGGGTAAATGAAAGCTTTCATTGATTTGTACCCCAAAATGGCCCCCACCAATACCTCCAATCTTATTGCTTTCACCATTGATTTGTTTTTGCATGGAAACACCCCATCACCATTGTCTGGCAGAACATCTCTTTTGCAGTTGCAGACTTGCAGTAGTTGATCGAATCTGGTCAAAACAAGAAAAACCCTATAAAATCAAAATCAAAATCAAAAGAATAAAAATATCGTCATAGCATTAAATACTTGTAAGACAAAATAGGATCCAATAATATCATGATTTTTCCTTCTAAGTTTGGAAAATTATTTAGCATCATCAAATGGGTCCTCAGCAATTACCGCCAGGGGGTCAAAACAAAGCCTCATGAGCTAACCATGTACAGAAGCAAGATAACATACATTCACAACTATATCCGTGGATCATTATGCCAGTCATCAACTGTTGTCATCATCAACAGACATAATGAATTTTAAATCCAACAACTAATAAACTAACAATCTTATAAATAAAATGACACAACCCCCCAAAAAAATTAAGCAGAAGGAAAAACATTTTTAAAAATGGTAAGAAGGGTAACAATAGTTGTTTTTGTGAATCATATATGGTTCGAGAGGAGTTCAATAATATTTGAGCGAATATCATGAGAGGGATTCATTAATGCAAAAAATAAGAAGAGGTGTTCGTGATCGATATTTTAGTTATAATCTGTTAAGAAATACCTAAATTTTTTATAATATTATATTTTGATACAGTGAAAATCTCTTGACATGATATATGACCGGCAACTTGACAACACTCATTAAATGATTTTCCCACAATAGTTAGCATAAGTTTCTCCATTAGAAAGAAACCATGTAACAAAGCAATGAGGCCCTAAGTTTCAAACAATAGTCTTGCTTAGTTGATCAAAGCTTATCGCGTACTCAAGTCATCATAGATTTCTTATTTAGTAATTACTTATATATATATATATATATAATGAGAAAATGAATGGACTCCACATTAATTGGACCAAGTCTCAAATACCTTTTTTAACAATTAAAAAAAAAAGTAAATTTAGTCAAAAATTTACTTACAAAGTATAAGTTTTGCGTGGCCTCCTTTTACTTGGAGTCATCCTAAGATGCTCAAAATCTCTTCCACCACCTGCAAATCGCAACAGCAAACAAACAAACAAATTTAGATAATTGTTAATATAAATATAATAAACATATTTTATTTATATATATATACAACACAATTTTTTTAAAAAAATTTTTAGATTTGATATATACAACACAATTAAATCACAAAAGAATGACAAGGAAAACAATAAAAATAAATAAATAAAGATAAAAGAAAGAACAGACAGAGCAACCGCAATTATGGGACAATAGAGAAAGGTGACGAACACGAAATGCATGGATGATGCGTGTACGTGCCACGTACAAAGAATCAAAACAGTACAGACACGTGTAAGGCAATTAGGCCATATCATCAATCAGATAACGGCGCGGTTAACGTGGCACGCATTACGCAGAATCCGACGAAAAAGAAGATAATTCCAGTAACTTCTACGGCGGCAATTAACGGAACCCTAACGGGAAATTGGGAAGAAAGAGAGGGAAAAAAGAAAAGATAATGCCCTGCAGCAACAACGGCGTCCAAAAGAAACTTAAAAGTACTCACCGTCACAAACAGGATCCAAATCGAAAATTGGACTGACAAATTCCATTCATTTCACGCCATGGATCAAACAACAAACCAATCCTTCTTACCCAAAATTTACAGTCCATCCATTTTACATCATCATCATCATAGAAGTTTCTCGATTTTTTGTCTTCTTCGATATATTTTGGTAATTGAAGTAGTATTCAATCTTATAATTAAGTTTTTGTCCAATCAAGTCCCAGAGAGCTTGCTATTATTGCCAATGGTTTCCGTTGTGAATGAGGTAGATATGGCTAGGGTTTCCATGATAAGCATGGTGACGAGGAACTTTTGCAGCAGCAGAGGGAGGATGAGGATGATGATGATGATGATGATAGAGTATCGGCTTCGAGATCTGTGAAAGTCTGGAAGATGAACCGGCGGAGTAGAACGATCTCGGCGACGGCGCGTCGAGAATGGTGGTGGATGCGGCGGTGGAAGGAGGAGGAGAGATTTTTTTGGCCGATTTGGGCGGAGAGAGAAATGCTCTGATCTTGAGAGTGGACGGCGGTGATGAAACTCGATCGTATTCCTCGATGAGATTAGCGAGATCTTCATTGGAGGTGATCGAGACCAACGCATCCAAATCTTCGGTAGGAAGCTGACACCTCAGAGTCACCGATGACCCACCACACAACTCCCCCATCTTCATCAACAGCTCTGCAATCAATAATTAACACCACGTACGTCAGAAACAACCTCAACTCTAACATAAATATATATACATCTATATATATATAATGACAAGTAATAAAAAAAATCAAGTCCAAACTCTCAAGTTGAGATTATCAATTTGAGAGAATCTAATGCCTATTTTGGCAACATGGTTTGTAGTTGTTTTTTTTGATTAGTAGCAAAAGTTAAAAGTTGATTTTTTTGTCTTTTTTTTATTTGGGATGTTGGTTTTTAGCCAACGGTGAAATTACAATTTATTTCTCATGGGTTAAAATGTGTTACATAGGTAAAGTTATAAATATTTTAAATAAATAGGGATAGTTTGATCATTTTATTATGATTTGACATCATAAACAAACATTAATAAAAAAAAGTCAAAAGTCACTTTTTACTAACTTTCCAAATCATTTGTCTAAAAAAGCCAAAAATTTAGTTAAAAACCAAAAAATTACTTTTTACCAGCTTTCCAAAACAATCCTAAGTCTACGTGGATAAACATATAGATATGGAAGGAGTTTGAAGTAGGAGAGAGAGAGGAGAAAGGGACTGACCGGAGAAGGAGATGGAGCGGAGGACGGCAAGGACGCGGGTTTCGCCACCGTGGTAACGGAGCTTGCCGTCAGGATAGCGGGGGAGGATCTTGCCGCCGTAGCTGCAGAGGAATTTGATGGTAGCGGTGGTGGTGGGGGTGTTGAGAGAAGGTCCTACCATGGTGTAAGGAGGGCCTATGGAAGATGGGGTTAGGCTTATTTATAGAGAGAGATGGAGGGGAGGGAGTGGGTTGGCTGGGTGGGAACGGGGTGGAGAGGGGACCGGGGGTGTGGTGGAAACTGGAAAGGGACCCCAAAATTACGCCAGTTATAGCAGATTCGCATACTCTCTCTGTGGACCCGGTGGTTAACATTTCAAGATTTCTTTTCAATCAAAAATTAAAATTATATAGAATATCTTATCATTACTCCTTATTGGCTTAAGATAAGGGCCAATTCTAATGAGACTTTTGGTCAATAAGAAATAAATCAATAAAAAAATATTTAGAACTTTATATATTAATATACGTACAGAATAAAATAGAATGATTTTTGAATATTTAATATATTTTTGTCTTATTAAGACATTTGAATGTTCAAATTATAAAATAATGACTGAGATATATTTTTAAAAAAATGTCTTACATGTATATTTTTTACTTTCCCGCTTCGTTCTTTTATTTTTTTTTCTTTTTTTCACCCATTTTTCCATGATCCTACCTTCTTCCCTCTTTTTTTTTTATTTTTTTATTTTTTTCTATTTTTATTTTTCTCTTTATTTGTTTATTTTTTTTTTATCTTCTCCTTTTGTATATATTTTTAAAAAAATGTCTTACATGTATATTTTTTACTTTCCCGCTTCGCTCTTTTATTTTTTTTTCTTTTTTTCACCCATTTTTCCATGATCCTACCTTCCTCCCTCTTTTCTTTTTATTTTTTTATTTTTTTCTATTTTTATTTTTCTCTTTATTTGTTTATTTTTTTTTATCTTCTCTTTTTGTTCACTTATTTTTATTCACATCATATCTTCAGGAACGAACATACTAAGTATATATATATATATATATATCCAGACTAATGATAATCCTTTAGAATTATACTCCTTTTTTTTTATCTATTAATAAAGACTAATGATAATCCTTTAGAGTTATCTTTTTTTTATCTATTAATCTTATCTCTACTCCAACAACTATTAACTCTGGCCATCACTCTTCTTCACTCATTCCTAATTTTGACTTTTTTTTTTTTTTTCTTTTTTCCCCACTCTTACAAGTTCTAGCCCATCATTGTTGCTTTCACTCCTCTCCAACACATTCCCGTCTCTTCTCTATATATTGGGATTTTTTGAGATGATAAGAATAAATATACTCTTTAATTTTTTATAAAAAAAAATATATAAAAAATTAAAGAAATGATGTAACACAAAAAAGATAAAAATATAAATAAGTATACTTTTTTAATGCACCCCAAACAACCTCCACTACAACAAAATACACCTTTGGCGACTAAAATTGGCGACTAAAACAAATTTAGTCGCCAAAAGTTTTGGAATTGGCGACTAAAACTTTTTTTTGGTCGCCAAAAGTATGAAATTTAGCTACCAAATTTTTTTAGTCGGGATATATTGATTTTTGGCGACAAAAAATTAATTTAGTCGCTGAAAATACTAGAATTGACGACAAAAAAAATTTTTGGTCGGCGTATATTGAACTTTGGCTACTAAAATATTTAGTCGCCAAATGTAAAATTAAAAATTTATTTTTTATCTTTTGGCGACCAAAAGTTTAGTCGCCAAAACATATTTTCAGTGACCAAAAATTGGTTTAGTCGCCAAAAAATAAAAAATTGGAGGGAGACATTTCTAATTTAAATTTGAGGGATTTATAAAAGTAATTGGCGACTAAAGTTTTTAGTCGCTAATGGTGTCACATATAAGTAATTGGCGACCATTAGGTACTTTAGTCGTCAATTGTATAAAATGATATATATATATTTTGTACCAAACCAAACCCTAAAATAATCTGCGCCTCTCTCTCTCTCTCTCTCTCTCTCTCTCTCTCTCTCTCTCTCTCTCTCTCTCTCCATTCGGCGTCCCTCTCCCTCTCCCTCCCCATCTCCGCTACTCCTCTCCCCTCCCTCTCTCACTGCCGCTCTTCTTCGCCTTCGACGGAAACCGAAGCACCTCCTCCTCACGCCACCGCCTCCTCCTCCTCCGCCAATCTTCACAGATCCACCGCCGCGAGATCCAGAGGCTTCATCGCTGAGATGAACTCTGCTCCATTGATGCTCCGTCTCGCGTATGCTTTCTCTCTCTCTCTCAAAATATTCAGAGGTTTCTTGTGGGGATCTTAAAGATCTGATTGGTCCTTTTGATTTTCACTTTTGATCTTAAAAATCAATACATACATACTATATACACACATCAACCTTTATCATCGTGGTAGCTTTCGATTTATTCCCTTTCAATTCGATGCATTTGATTATCTTTATCCACTTAATTTTTATTTTTTTATTTTTGGTTTTTCATTTTCGAAAAGATTGTCACAGTTTGTATGTTTTATCGATGTTTCGATTTTCCCCCTTACAAAATGGGTTAATTTCTTTTTTTTTTCTTTCCTTTTCGATTTCAATTTTTATTTGTTTATTTTTTCGACAATTGATTTTGAGTTTGTTTTGCAAGTACTAATCAGTTTTTTTGGGTTTGTTTTGATTTTGAATTTTGTTTCAGGTTCTATAGCTCTGTAGAATTAGTATATATCAACTTTAGAACTCTGTGGTAGATCGCACAAATCTCAAAATTTTAAGGAGCTTTGCACGCTGTTCATCCAACAGGTATGCTCTTTTCATCACTTGATATACTCGTCTATATATATACATATTTTGAGTAGGCAAATTAATAGTCGGTTCCCCTGTTAAAAATGCATAATTTTCTGTTCATTGTAAATTTGTGTGATGACTACACTAGAATGAGTATCATTGGTTTCTTCAATTTTTGTTTTTGTTTCACTGATAAGTAACTTACATCAATTTATCCTTCAGTAATTTTGTATACCTTTGATGTTTCTGTTTCAGGAATTTCTGGAAGCACTGATACTGGGAAGAAAAAGGTCCTGCTTTTGAAGGGGAAAGAGAAAAAAATTCCTTATGTAAGCCTTTCCTTATATCCGCTGCCATCATTCTACTGTGTTAGATTTTGTCATGAATAATGCAGTGAGAAATAAAATACACATGCACCTAACATGGTGTAAGAATTTCAAGAAAAAGAATTTGAATGCCTTCTAATTGTGCTTTGGCAATTTTATAAAGTGAGATAATATATGTCAAGATTAAAAAAGAGAAACAAGCATGTGGGTCTTTGATACACTTTAAATCTGTGGTTTAGGACCTATATAATTTACATGAAATGCAATCGCAAGTTGAAATCTTGGATCCATAAGTCATGCATGTTATGCATGGTAACCTTATGGCCCTTATTGAAGCTGAAAATCAGCAAGTAGTAGTGGCTGGCAGGAAGGAGAGCTGTGGATATCTGTGAGGAACATGTCCTCAACTAGTTGTGTTATGAATTGTGAGACTATGCCATAATATGTTTCATTCTTTTGTTGCATCCTTATTTCACTTCTTTTAATAAGCCAACATGTTTTAGTATGTTGAATGCAATGTATGTCCTTCATTTTAATATGACTGTATGGTCACATGCTCCTATCAAAGGGTGGATCAACTTTGAAAGCATGGACCACTTTCTCCCCTCTTTTTTCAATTGATGTCTTATCTACTTTCTCTTTCATTTATTTATTTATTTATTTTTTAGGGAAAATTACATACACACACAAAAAAAATAAAAACCCACAGTTTGACCATTTTGGTGTTTTTGTTAGTTGTTTTTGTTAGTTGGTTTCTTGCCAAATTAACAATTAGATATTAATTTGGTTTAATCCTCTGTTATGTATGGATATACATGGTCTGAACTTCGAAATACGTCTTGGTATATAGTTGAGATAAATCAAACCAAACGAAACTAAGCCTTGTTTCCCAATCAAATGAAGTCGGTAACATAAATCCTTTTCTGCTACTCCGCTCTGTCAAGAGCTATATGCTCAGTTGAATTAAACAAGTTCATTTTTCCCCCTGCTACTCTGCTCTGTCAATTTCTGCTGCAACCTCCTGCACAGTGGCAGATATGTAAATACGAA